GAACATTTTCTCTTACCTCTTCTTTTTACTAAATCATAACCTCTCAAACTGCTACTTAATTTCCAAATTAATTCTTCCACAGCTTCATATCACTCAAATAGCCTTTTGATCTTCTGTACTAAGGGACTCTTAGCATCAAATAGTTTCAAACTGGTGATAGAGAATTTGTCACGATTATTAAGTTTGAGCTCTGCTAACAGGACCTAAGACTTTGGGCAAGTCTCTTCAGAGCTTGGAACTTAATTTTTGTCATTCGAAAAAATTGGAACTTAATTTTTGTCATTTGAAAAACTGCAGATTTCTAAATTCCCATAAGTGTATAATTATGATTTAAACATAACCAGGATTCTTATAAAGATATGGTATATTGGCAAGTTTTACGGAACCTTTCCCAAGCCTCTTACTGTGTGTACATATGGAAATCTACTAGTGCTTCATTTTACTACCAAATTTAGGGGAGTTTAACCTACATTTTTGCACTGGGGAGAACCAAATTATGGCACCCTCTAAAATGTACGAGTGACAGCACTGCAACAAACACCAAGGAAGCTTTATAAAAGCAAAACCAGGGGCTTTGTCAGGCGAAAGGTACGCCCCAGGGATGCTTTGTTCTACATGCTAACCACTGTTAAAGATCCTTTAGGGCCAGGCAAAAACGGCTTGGGTCTTTTTCTTTTCAAATTTCATATTCCCTTAACCAAAAGCTGAGCTCGAACAATCAAGTCTGGGACTAAACGGTCTCACCCATTCTGAGTATGGAAACTTGACTCCGCCTCGCCAACGACCGCAAGAGGGAGAAGCAGCTCCAGGGAAGCCGGGCGAGGCCGGGAACTTGTCTCACCAGCCCGGCCCCGGCGCAGACCTGCTGGTGCCAGCCACCAGCACCACGAGCCACTGAGGATAGTCTCCACCGCCCACGCCGACTGCAGCTGGGCCCGCGGCGTGTCACGTGACTCGACGGCGTAGCCAATCAGCGCCGCCTCTGTGGTATTCAAATCGGCGGCGGGGGCCGACAGTTGTGCAGAGTTATGCGGACCTCTAAACAGAGGTCGGAGTGTAACTTTCCGCCGCCATGCACAGCACCGGACGCTGACAGGCCTCCAGGCCCGGTGGGCGGAATGGAGACTCGGAGTGTGCCTCCTGGGCCTTATCGGGCCACTAAGCTGGTAAGACAGCGCAGAACGACGAGGCTAGCCAGCCGGGGTGATGGCCGCCACCACTTTTACGGGAGAACGTTCGTAGTTTTACCTTGGGCGGAGGGATGGATCCCAGATCCTCTTGGTTCCCTGAAAAGGATATTGAAAGGAATTAACCGGGACCCTTGCGGAACGAGTCTGTCCCTCGCCTTTGTTCCGGGCGCCCCGCGAAGGTTGCATCATACTCATTCCTTGTTAGGCAGCTCCTGTTCTGCGTGTTGTCTGCGTCCCCTGTAACTCCACAGAACATCCTGAGTTTAGCCGCACCTATGCCGGATCTTCTACCCCCATCAGTATTCGAAAAGAATTTAGAATCAGTTCCAGTGCTTTGTAGGATCAGATTGGGGCAAACGCGAATGTGACAGCTTCGTTTGGCTGGCCCTGCAGAATTTAATGTAGGATGGACCAACCGAATGCCACTTAGATAACAGCTATTTCAAAACTAAACCCAGAATATTTGAGATACCTGTCAGGAACCACTGTTGGTAGTCACTGGTTTTGTACTTGTATACAGTGTCTCCTGCATTTAGATCTCCATCCTAGAGGAGCCTGTGCCACCGGTCATGTGACATTAGGAGAGCCACTTAACTTCTGTGAGCCTCAGTTTCCACATTGGTAAAATAGGCCTGATAATACATGTCCATCCTAAGAGATTTTCCGAGAGAGTACTGTATGTGAAAATGTTATAATTGGTAGAATATAAAATACCTTATCCTCTGGATAAATTGCCACTCAATATATTTCTTGAATAAGTTAATATACGAAATGTGGTGGTGGGGGAAGAAAATGATACAGTTGTGTTTTCATACCTTAAATTTTGCGTTGTGATGTTGGGGCTACATAGGTCAGGTAGGTGGTAACATAAGTAGCAGTGGCTTAGCTGGAGTTAATTTACCTCATTTGTTCTATGTTCACTATTGGAGTCTTCACATAAGAGATACTATAGTAAATGTATAAATGATTTTAATATTAAAGGTATTTTACCAGTGAAACTACTGCCAGCCATAAGTTTTATTTGTCCAGCATAGTAGTTACTAGTGCAGGTTCTAGAGTCAATCAAATCTGTGTTTGAAGGGTTCATCACTTAGCTGTGCAACCTTGGTCAAATTATTAAATCTCTCAGTGCTTCATATTCCTCATCTAAAAATGGGATAATAGTACTGATTCACAGAATTGCGAGAATTAAAGTTTAATCATGAATGTAAAGCATAATGTCTGACATAAATGCTAACAGCATATTAATATTAATTGAGATTTAAAGAAACAGGAATAAATGCTTTCTCTATTGAGGACTACAGGCAGTTGCATTGCAGTTCTTCATTATTCCTAGGTTTCCTAAAGAAGCCAATCAGCCAATTAAGTGCTTTTAGTCAACAACTTTTACATAGAATTATTATTACGGTAGTAGAATTAATCAAAATAAATTAGTATATCAGTTTTTCTATAGCACAAGTAAAATGAATGGTTTCTTCATGAGTTTTTATGATGTAATCATATGTGAATGAATTTTGTCTAATTTATTGCAAATCAGTAGGAGATTTTATGTTCGTTCTTTAATCTTTTAAAA